CTGGTTTGAGTTTCTCGGTAATGAAAATAGACATAAACAACCAGTAAATTTGTGCACACTCAAGCTGAGTAGAATTGTAGGGTGAGAAGGTATACAAACAAAATCATTTTTTTGGCTGTTGCCATGAAAACGGCTGGCAAGAATTTGTTTTTAGATTTTACAACCTAACTAGAGTGAAGGTGTGACTTGTCAAGTTTGAACCAAATCGGCCCAACCAAAAAATCACAGAAGAGTCAAATTTCTCAGCAATAAAAAAAGATATCAAAAATTCAACTTTGTGCCCACACTCAAGCTGAGTAGAATGAGCTATGTCTGAGGATTTTTATCCTAAATTTGTAGGAGGAGATACATTTGGCACTAAGCTATAAAAAAAAAACAGTTTTTGGCTGTTACTATGGCAACGTTGGGCCATTTTTTTTTCTGATTTTACCTAATAACTAGGGTGATGGTGTGACCTGCCTGCCAAGTTGGAGGGAAATAGGCAAATCCAAAAAAATCACAGAAGAATTAATACGTGAAAACACTGGAAATCACACATACAGACACACAAAATTGATTTTAAGGGCAATCCTAGCGGATCACTGTACCGCAAAAGACGCTCATCGCGAAGTGACTTGTGTTTAAAATAAAATATTCTGTCCAAGCCAAATCGAGGTCAAAGGGTCAGATTGCGTACATATAATTATAGATAGTTAAACAAAAAGTATTTGCATTTTTGTCAGCTGTTCAACATCTATAAAAAACAGAAAGACTATTATAAGGCAATGTGAACTTCGGAAAATGTTCTGTCAGTCCAAATTTTAAATGCGCGCGAACAAGCAGGCGGGCGGTAATATTTCGGGGTTTGCGCAGTCGAAAATAAAGCGGAAATTGTCCCGTCGAATTTAACAAGCGGTCACAAAAGCGAGAGAAAAAGGTGACTGTAAAGCAGAAGCGGGCGGGAGGTTGTGTGAAATGAGTACTGAAACTTTGCGCAAATCGTTTTATTTTCCAAGTCAATATTCTATTTTACTAATACCATTTTTTTAACGCAATGGCGTTGAAGACGATGCAAAGAAAATCTGCCACTCAGTGTCGCGCTCTAGTTAACACAGCAATTTTTTTTTCAAACATCGGCCATTTTGTTTCACCATGAAAACCGTTTTATTAGATCTCTTATCGGAGACACTTGAAGGATTAGCTTGTTTGTAAACTGTCAGCGTGTACAGTGGGACAGTAATGTTTGTCTGAGGATTATCCCTCGTTGTTCGTTTGCATAACAATGAACCCGAACGTTCCTGGAGTACGAACTCAAATGCGACGTTCAAACTCGCAGTTATCGTTCAAAAGATAATGATGGTGCGAAATATGTCTGTTTTTTTTTAAACAAAATGCTTTGTCACAGAATAATAGTCTGTTAAAGGTGCCAAGTATGAAATAAGTTGGGACAAAAATACAAACCCGCATAGAAATCGGAATAGGTCTTTTGATTACCGGGGACACATTTCAATGGACTTGATTACGGACAATGCATGACGTAAATTTCACCAGGAAATTCCGCAGTGTGCTCTCGCAATCGCGGACTTAGTCATTTTTACAAGGTTCGCCATTTTTGATGTCACGTGATAATTATGTAAACAATGACTGTCCAGTTTATGCGAACTTGTACGTCTATACTTAGTCTTTTGAAATATATAAGCTAAATTACTGTTCTGAACAAGACAACAGACAAAGAATGTTTTATTCGAAAACGTCACAAAACCCTTCTCGCTACCTTAAATTTGATTAAATATTAATATAAATTATGAAATAATGAGGGTCGTCAAAATGTAGGTTTTGTCGTCACAATTCACATGTACATAAATATTGGCGGACATCTTATGAGACCTACAATATTTTATCCTTAAAGTCCTGATATAAACACAATCTAGACAAGATAAACTTTACAGTGGGGAAGGGGGGAGTTGTCACCTGCGTATGCGTCCGATGGCCATAGTGTGCCATTGTTTACAAACAAGTGTCTACCCATTTTTAGTGTGTGTTGTTATCATCGCTTGGGACTCGTGTGCGCAGGTGACGACCCTCCCTCTTTAATACAGAAAATATCTAGGCATTGTTCGTCGATGTCTGGAATTTTGTTTCAGTGGTCAGAGTTGGTTACGTTTTTAAACTCATCAGAAAGGAGATGCTTTCAAATAACTATTTACCAACTAAAACAATTTAGCATACAGAGTGAGACAATAATACAGTGTCTTCTGTTCTACCTTCAAGAGCACATGCAGTATGATTTCCTGCCCCAGTTCCACGCCGAGGGTGTCTCACAAAATGAGAGTGTTAGTAATGAACAGACCTGCATTATATGTGAATCTCATTGATCACTATTAATGTCTTCATTTGCTATAAATAAAATTTGTATGTTTACATTGATCAACCCATAATAGCTGCATGTGATCTGAATTACCACTGTACCAATATGTCTATCCAATCTGCCTCTCAATTCTATGTCTTTATTTTTATTTTCCTGCAAAGTTGTTCGTTTTCACAATGCACATCGAGCAAATTATGTTTGTAACAGCGCCACCAACATCTAATGTGATTACATTTTACAAGCGTGGAGCAAGTTATTCTTATCAATGTAAATAACGAAAGTTACATCCTCAGCTCAAAGGGGAGGTAAATCTTCATTCTGATGTTCCAATCAAATATTCGCGCTCAAACATTGAATGGTAAGGATTTGTCACATCATTTGGCCTCCAGCAGAGGCTTGGTTCTGTAAAGAAAACGGAATGTAAATGTCAGCAGAGAGAAGCAGAAAAACATGTACAGTAAAGTATCAAAAACATAGCACATCAAATTTTGTGTAATCCTTGTAAACATCATATGGGAGACACTGCAGGTACATTGTATACTGAATATGATGTGGTGTTTGTCTGTGTTGATTTTACAAAATAACTTTCACATGAAAAACTGGAATAAGACATGTCAATTGGTATCGTCTGGTGCAAAAGTTCATATAGTACCAGATACTAGTAACCAGAAAACATAATGGTTCACTTTATCTGCCATACATGGTGCATATATGAAACTCATCGATATAATTTAGATGTTTAACATTGAAGTTCAAAGTCTTCATGCAATTTTCATTCTGTGGGTACATACAACATGAATATATTACTTTGAACGATTATAAAATATCAGTACATGAGGAGTCAAAGTGGACAACAGAGGGTGCTCTATTTGTCTATCAATAAAAAGGCTCACAGATACGACTCCATATTATGCAGTACACTATCTTCAAATTGAGGCACTGAAGCCTCCAGATATGTGGAATTAAGCATTACCTTACGTATATGCAGCATGGCCGTCAATTGATACCACTAAAATAGCCTCTTCTTGAGAATATAGAATACAGTAGCGAAAAATAAAGCTAGAGCTATAATAATTAAAAGTTTATCAGTGATTTCCCGTCTGTTGTATTTGGTTAAAAGCTTTCTACTGGTTTGGATCACACCTCCCATTCCTTTAAATTCTTCATGAGTTTCTTGAATAGTTTTTGATGAATTTACTGAAAAATACAAGACATCAAAATCATCAAATTTGAAAAAGCACATGTTTGCATATTATACCTATCTGCTGACTGTTTTCAAACCTGATTTGTGAGAATTGATTGCACTTATATTTGAACATCAAAATAAAATGAAGGTCAATTTTATGTAGGTAATTTTCTGCTATGACTATAAATGATAAATTAAAGCAAAAAATTGTTTACACCCTGAAAACTCTAATGCTACATTGAAATGGGTTAGAGAAGCCCTTTAGTAATTGAGTCTCTGTCTTGCCCTAAATCATGGCTTACTTGAACAGAACATGCATCTCATCAAATTTATTCAGAATTCTGCACATTTCACACATTACAATCACCATAACAGTTTGGCACTGAATTTCAAATGACAATTGAAAACAATCTGAAAAATAACAATGCTTTATTGGATGAATATCACTCGTATAGAATTTTATAACTGTCAGTGTGACCATTGACCAAACATAACAATGTGTATGCCTCCGGAAAATGTTTTACAATTTTATTTAAACAAATCACACCTTTTTTCATTGGACATCATTTACTTTGTGTTAGCTTGCTTATCACTCAACAAAACCTATGTTTAATGATGTTTACAGTAAATTCTTTCCAATTTGGTCAAAGTTCAGGATAATAAATTCAGTCTCACTCACGTATCCTTAAAATCGTGTATGATTTGGCCAACAAAGGTTCAGGGTAGGTAATTAATTTTTGGTATCATTAATGTTCAATACAGCATTCTCCTCAGGATTTTGTAAGCATGAAGGTAGTTAGAATGAAACACATTCCTTTAATGATACTTGTGGTACCACTCTATGCAGTTACAAGTTTTCTTTAGATAAGACAACAAATGGTATCAGTTTCTGTAGCATTACTCTATTAATTCTACTTAGTTGTATTGAAAAACAAGAATTAAAGAAAACAATATTACATTTAGTTTTAACTACAAAGGGGCACACAAGAATTACATAGAGGCAACATTGCCATAGTAACATTGCCATATATCACACATTTCTCACCTAATGTATGCATTGTTTCTTCACTTTGTTTTACGCTTGATGCCATTAATCTGCTTATACTCATAAGATTCTCTGTAATATTTGTTGCAGTCTTTGCCATGTGTTCCTTGTTTTTCCTGCAATAATAGACATCTTAGTTGTCACACCTATCTCAGTTCCGTATTTGTTCTATTAGAAGCACATATCATAGAAGTAAACATAAACCAAATTTGCTCTACTAAAAGCCCACCTCTCATGAAAGCGAACATAAACCAAAAATGTCATTCATTGTATTTATTATTCTATGAACCATGGAGCATCTATAGATTCTATGCATTCATTGTAGAGGTCATACAAATCATGGAGTATCCATAGATTCTAGGCATTCATTGTAGAGGTCCTACAAACCATGTAGCATCTATAGATTCTAGGCATTCATTGTAGATGTCATACAAACCATGGAGCATCCATAGATTCTAAGCATTCATTGTAGAGGTCATACAAATCATGAAGTATCCATAGATTCTAGGCATTCATTGTAGAGGTCATACAAATCATGGAGCATCCATAGATTATAGGCATTCATTGTAGAGGTCATACAAACCATGGGGCATCCATAAATTCTAGGCATTCATTGTAGAGGTCCTACAAACCAAGGGGCATCCATAGATTCTAGGCATTCATTGTAGAGGTCCTACAAACCATGGAGCATCTATAGATTCTAGGCATTCATTGTAGAGGTCATACAAATTATGCGGCATCCATAGATTATAGGCATTTATTGTAGATGTCATACAAACCATGGGGCATCCATAAATTCTAGGCATTCATTGTAGAGGTCCTACAAACCAAGGGGCATCCATAAATTCTAGGCATTCATTGTAGAGGTCCTACAGACCATGGAGCATCCATAGATTCTAGACATTCATTGTAGAGGTCCTACAAACCAAGGGGCATCCATAGATTCTAGGCATTCATTGTAGAGGTCCTACAAACCATGGAGCATCCATAGATTCTAGGCATTCATTGTAGATGTCATACAAACCATGGAGCATCTATAGATTCTAGGCATTCATTGTAGAGGTCATACAAATCATGGAGTATCCATAGATTCTAGGCATTCATTGTAGAGGTCATACAAATCATGGAGTATCCATAGATTCTAGGCATTCATTGTAGAGGTCATACAAATCATGCGGCATCCATAGGTTATAGGCCTTCATTGTAAAGGTCATACAAACCATGGGGCATCCATAAATTTTAGGCATTCATTGTAGAGGTCATACAAACCATGGGGCATCCATAGATTCTAGGCATTCATTGTAGAGGTCATACAAATCATGGAGTATCCATAGATTCTAGGCATTCATTGTAGAGGTCCTACAAACCATGGGGCATCCATAAATTCTAGGCATTCATTGTAGAGGTCATACAAACCATGGGGCATCCATAAATTCTAGGCATTCATTGTAGAGGTCCTACAAACCAAGGGGCATCCATAGATTCTAGGCATTCATTGTAGAGGTCCTACAAACCATGGAGCATCCATAGATTCTAGGCATTCATTGTAGATGTCATACAAACCATGGAGCATCTATAGATTCTAGGCATTCATTGTAGAGGTCATACAAATCATGGAGTATCCATAGATTCTAGGCATTCATTGTAGAGGTCATACAAATCATGGAGTATCCATAGATTCTAGGCATTCATTGTAGAGGTCATACAAATCATGCGGCATCCATAGATTATAGGCCTTCATTGTAGATGTCCTACAAACCATGGGGCATCCATAAATTCTAGGCATTCATTGTAGAGGTCCTACAAACCAAGGGGCATCCATAGATTCTAGGCATTCATTGTAGAGGTCCTACAAACCATGGGGTATCCATAGATTCTAGGCATTCATTGTAGAGATCCTACAAACCATGGGGTATCCATAGATTCTAGGCATTCATTGTAGAGGTCCTACAAACCATGGAGCATCCATAGATTCTAGGCATTCATTGTAGATGTCATACAAACCAAGGGGCATCCATAGATTCTAGGCATTCATTGTAGAGGTCCTACAAACCATGGAGCATCCATAGATTCTAGGCATTCATTGTAGATGTCCTACAAACCAAGGGGCATCCATAGATTCTAGGCATTCATTGTAGATGTCATACAAACCAAGGGGCATCCATAGATTCTAGGCATTCATTGTAGAGGTCCTACAAACCATGGAGCATCCATAGATTCTAGGCATTCATTGTAGAGGTCATACAAACCATGGAGTATCCATAGATTCTAGGCATTCATTGTAGAGATCCTACAAACCATGGGGTATCCATAGATTCTAGGCATTCATTGTAGAGGTCCTACAAACCATGGAGCATCCATAGATTTTAGGCATTCATTGTAGATGTCATACAAACCATGGAGCATCTATAGATTCTAGGCATTCATTGTAGAGGTCATACAAATCATGGAGTATCCATGGATTCTAGGCATTCATTGTAGAGGTCATACAAATCATGGAGTATCCATAGATTCTAGGCATTCATTGTAGAGGTCCTACAAACCAAGGGGCATCCATAGATTCTAGGCATTCATTGTAGAGGTCCTACAAACCATGGAGCATCCATAGATTCTAGACTAACAAATAATTTTTTTAGCTTTTAATGAATTCATCTCAACATCGATTAAACAAATGAAAGACTGAAATTACCTCTTCCGAATATCTGGATCAGTACCACCCTTTAAAAGATCTTCCTTTGCATTTCTGTCTATTTGTAATTTACATGCTAAGTTGGCTTTTCTTAAAGCAGTCTGTGTGCTGTAATTAATAGTAAATGATTCAACAATTAGAAGCTATTTGGATAGAAGGAAGCAAAACATTTTCTCAGCAACATCATCTTGAAATAAATATTGGGCTGAAAACTGGAGGAAATAAATAATATGCACAGATAAACCATCTCCTCTCCCAGAATTTCTAATAATCAGGAACACCTAGGTTTATATGGTTGGTTGGTTATTTTGACATTCATTTATCCAAGTTGACTTTTGCTTCAAAAAATCATGACACATTTAATTTGGTAGCTTTTGTCTCTTTAAAACAGCCAAAATTGTAGTGCAACTTTATAAAATTTGTATCTATTTTTCTATAATTTAATTTTTTAATTTGTTTTGGGCCAATTTCTTGAAACAAAACAATGATGCAGCTTTATTTTGAGTTAGATGGCAAAAGTTGACCTTGGTGTTCAATAGTCTTAATGGTAGATTCCGAAAAAAAGTATATTTATTAAAAAAAACTCCCACAAATATTTGATAGTGGGGAAAGCAACAAACAATGTTTACAGCAAGATCATCATGAAAAGAAAATCTCGCTCAAAATTACGTGAATGAAAAAAATAATTTGCACATTTATTCTATCATTGCAGAATTTTAATGGTCAACTCCTAAGGTCACAGATGTCATCATATCTTGTATGCATAGCAACACACACACAGGTGACTCAAATGAAAAAAAAAATATTTAAGAAGAGATTAATCTCGGTTTGAACCATCTGTTTAAATTAAAATTAGGTTTAAGGGATTTTATTCCATCAATGAGTACAATAGATGCTGTAACACTGCAACCAGAGTTCACTTGTACCTGATGACCCCTGATGTCATGGGTGCAAACATAAGCAGACAAATGTATACAGCAATAATCATATATATTGCAGAAATTGGCTGCTTTAAAGAACATTGTAAACTTTTATCTTATGAATGCCTTAATATTCTCCAACTAAATTTTGGTGCAGTATTTTTCACATTTTTATCTGTTTTTCTATTTCTTTGATCATTTTTGACTAAATGGATATACACGTAATTACCAACTGTCTACATGTCTTGAATAAAATTTTGGAAATAACGAGGAAATAATTATGCTGATTTATTCCATGAAGGCGGGGTGAAACGTGACAACATTTGGCATTCAAAGGGTAAAGATACCGACAACACATTTTGAATCAGAAATGTATGTTGCCTAACATTCACATTACATGGCATTTAAACACAAGGAATATATAATCAGCGCAGTCTCAATATGTGCATTCAGAAATCCAATTTATAAGTTATACTAATATGAGGTGTGACAAATTGAAATTATTATGCACATTTTGTATTTTGTCAAAATTATGCCAATTGACACATAAGTTAAGGTAGTGAGACTATTATTTGTGTTGAAAATTACGATTTTCACATTTATTTATTAATTGATGAAATGCACCATAAACTTTCATCTGATAAAGTCAACGTAACCTAGATGTCATGTAAGTTGGTTAAAATGTAGATTTTCTGAAGGGAAGCAAGGCAGCTTCAGTAGTGTTTTCCAAAATCAACAACACAGGTTTAATCTGTGTGCCTATAAGTTTCAAAGATAAACTCAAGACAAAGCAATGTTAGGATGTGTTATCAGTAGCTATCTGACACACAATAGTTGCGTTCACGCACAGCTCCTTAGCACGGGCTAAGAGGTCAAATTCCTTAGCCCGTGCTAAGAAAACGTGCGTGAACGCTTAGCACGGGCTAAGGAATGCTAAGTACGGGTTAAATCTGATCCGAATTTAAGACGCGGTCTAGACCTTAGCACGAGCTAACGATGTATGCGCTAACGCTTAGCCCAGGGCTAAGCGCCCTCTGCGGCGACCTTTGGGTGTGAAAATTGTCCCATGTTCGTATAACGACACTATTCCACCAGTCATTACTCCGCGCTCGCTTCCACACTAATCGGGTCACTGTAGTAGTAGAGCGTACAGCAGCTCCAATCGTAGACAAAAAAAATTTGGTTCGCTGTCTGCGACATGCATTAATAAAACTCTGTATTCTGTTACGCCCGTTGTATACTGTTTATGTGCATCCAAATAAGTTGGGTCCTGTGCACGTCGCTTCAAAATTAGAACGAAACATGCCAGCAGCAGAAATAGAACCTAGCGCGTGTCATCCATTTTTCGTTCGTAAATAGCGGCTTACCAAAGGTCACCGACTAATGGCACCCCTTAGCCCGTGCTAACGACTGGCCCTCCCTGTGCGTGGACGCAATTGGGTCTAGCCAAAATGCAAATATGCTAGATAAGCCTAAATCAGCTTAAATCTTAGCCCGTACTTCGTGTAACGTGAACACAACTAATGAGTGTTTCCAAACATTTGAGTGGTTTGTCTCCGCCTCCGGTTATTTCACAGATTAGTCATTAGCATATGAATGTGTCAGACACAAGGTCACACAGCCACTGAAAAAAAATCATTGATTTTGGTGTTTTCATCTGCCGATTTTATCGAACTATAGCTATTCCATTCCTTTATTTTTTGGTTTCCAATAGCCTTATACATTTGAATTCCCCTACAACATGTTAAAACAGACCTTGATGTGAAAACAAATCGCTTGTGCTGATAAACAAGCTTGAAAATCTGTGAGTGTGATGTGACTTCATCAACGATTTCTAGGAGTTTATGTTTTTCAAAAAAAAGGTCATTAACAAAAAATTATGTATACTTATTGTCATCGGATTAACACCAAATTATGCTTGAATAAAACTGATCAGACACATTCAATTTACCATACTATTGAACAACTAGGAAAAGTGAAAAAAAAACTTCTTATCACCAGCATAAATAAGTAATTATTTTTTTTACAAAAAAAGTAATTTTTCACTTTTGATTAAGTAACTCACCGTAGAATGCAGATACGGGCATGGCAAACACACGTTTGAAAAGCTTGAAATCTGGCAATTCTAATATATATACTTTCCTGAGTCTATTTGTAGTCGTTTGGTCACAATTAGAAGATGAAAACAAGTATGCAAATAATAGTCCCGCTACCTTAAGCTCAGTGTTGTCAAGGACGATGTATTACTGTAAATTGTTCTTTGTTGTTGAATATTTTCTTGTTTGTTTTTGGTCATTAATCAGAGGTCAGATTACATTGACTTTTTCAATTATAGATTTCTCAATTTCATTGATATAATTTTTGTCAATTTATTCTCAATATTTCAATTTACACCTTGTTTCTTAAATATAGTTTTTTTTTCAGAGAAAAGAATTTTGAAACAACTTTCCATTCACTGTAAATTTATACAAAACGACAAATGGTTCCAATTTACATTCAATTCAAGCTCAGTTAAAAAAAACTGATGGATGTTATTTCAAAATTTTATTTTAGTGTTAAAATTGTCATTAAAATTGGGCTTTTATTTTAATCCACCTTACATAAAAATTGAGTTTTTACCCATTTTTCTGAAATTCTAACAAGACATAAATGTCCAGTCCCAATCTTTTCTGAACAAGACGACGAAATGAAAGTGAATATCTTTGCATGTAATTGTATCACTAGAAAAATGTCCAAATGTAAAATTGGTTATGAAAATAGTCCATTAGAGGAGAAAGTGACACAAACATAAAATCTGATCACAAGAAATATTCACACTAATATGTCTTGCCAAATACAAACAAAATGAGTGAAAGTGAAACAGAAGGAGAAACAGGTAGGACGCATCAATTTTAATCAAATTGTGTAAATAAGCGATGCACATCAGTAACTTATCATGAGTAAGGGCATCACCAAGTTTGAACGAATATAGGGTGATAATGCACACCTGAGAAATGCTTGATGTTGAAACAAAAACGCAAATGAATACAATTATGTGTTGTATTTGTAAACTTCGAACAAAATTAATCAAGGTACATCTCAGAAAAGATTGAGGACACATGAAAAAAAAACAAACATGGCTGTCAGTCTGCCATATTGAATCAAATCAAAGGAAAAAACTGACACCCACAGCAATTCATCATGTGTGATGTGCATACAAAATTTATATAAAATCTGCCCAGACAGGGTAGTTTTTCAAGAAGTCGATAATAACATTCTTGACAAAAAAAATGACTAACATACTAGGTATTTGCTAAAATTATAAAGTTAAGGTAAGATCATGAAATATTCAAATCTACTAGGGGTACAAATCTACCTAAAGTACACATATACCAAGTATCAAAGCAATTGGAGTAGCGGTTTTCAAGAAGAAGTTGAAAATGGCAGTTTTACCAAAAATGACAAAAAAAATTGCTAAAATTATAGAATTCAAAATATCTATCACTAAATGTTCAAATCTAATAGAGGTCCACCCATAATACATATACAACATATCAAACCAATAGAAGTACAAGTTTTCAAGAAGAGGTTGAAAATTTTTGACCAAAAATAGGGAGTTGAAGATTTCATCACACAATGATCAAATCTCATAGAGGTATTTTTTTTCGGGGCCTCATAGTGTCAGACGACTCTTAATACATCATACCTGTGTAACTGTTTTCGGTGATTGTCAACATCTCGGAGAAGGTTAACTTTGTCTGTTTCTTTGTCTTGTTCTTTGGCAAATCTTTCCAAATCCTAAACAAAGAATAAAATCATCCTGACATGACTATAAAAGTATTACTAGGATGTAGCTCTGCCAAAATGTATTAAATAAACTAATCGTCACTAGAGAAAATATAAAGTTAAAATTTCCTTGGAAATATGTTGGTACTCTGCTACACATATTGAGTCAAGGGACTGTGTTTGCAACAAACCCGTCATTTTCCTCAGATACAGCATTAAGTGCTTTCTTTTGATGTAAGCTCGTTCAGAGAAAAAGCTAGCAACACGTTTATTTGATTTCGCCATATTAATTTTACCAAGTAATGTGTAGTTTTTTCATGAGTTATGATTGGGTGATGCAAATGAGCCGAAGTGAATCTTATAATCGTTTGAGGGTGTGCTACATACAGTAAATCGTGGTGAAATGAGGCTTTGGTCGAATAAATGGTCCTTGGCTGGCGATGATGATGATGATGATGATGATGATGATGATGATGATGATGATGATGTAGCTCTGTGTACAGATCTGTGAATGTGGAGGCGCTCATATTCGTCGGGACCTTATCTGCGCCCCAATGTGTTGGGGTGGCGTAAGAAGCCCAATGTAAATATCACCCCTACACAGCCATTACGCAGGGCTAATGATGATGATGATAAATAAATGTAATACTTACGTCTATTCTGTTTCTTAAAGCTTGTATCTTTTCTTTTATTTGTAAATTTATGTCATTTAATTTTTCTTCTGTGTTTGCAATGTCTCTAATATCCTGCAAGAAAAAAAACAGTGGGTGTGTGAGAATTGTCAATAAATTTAAAAACGATTTCTTACATCCCTTATGTTTTCGTCAGCATACCAAATAATCTGTCAATTAGTTTAAAACAAAATGTGTATTATGTTTGGATTTGTGTCATTATTAACTATTCCAATTTTTACCTGTATTAATGCTTTAACGTGCAAATCGTGTTTCACGATTTCTTGCACACAAAGACGGACATGAACATCATCCGCCGCCATCTTGGAATTCCCTCCATGACTGCGCAGGTTTATGGGGAACCCCTACATTGCGGCATCGTCGCAATAGTAGATGTGTGTCTGATTTTGCTAAAATGCACGTTGTCGATAGTGTCACGAAATATTGTGTTTTGCACTCTGACTATTAAGAATGTAATCTGAACAGTTGTTTAGAAAAATAATACCAGATCCCGTAAATAACTCGTCACTTCCTCTTATCAACGAATTGCCGTAAAGTGGTATATATTGTACACGTTTCACGATATTAGTGGATGTTGTCATTTCGTTATCTGTGTTGTGTGTGTTGCTTTGCGAATAATATCACCGGCAGAGGGCAATTCCAATTTAACAACACGTGTGAACCATACACGATGTACGCGTAATTACTACTACCCTATTGGAATTGTTTTATCTCTTCGATTGCAGTAAAAATAAGCAACATATGGAATCATTAAGAAGTTGACGAATCTCAGAGGAATTGCAATTTTAAGGGCTCTCCAGACTTTACCAAAACGACGTAGATAGTCTTAAGCCATAGTTGACGTGGAATAGATCTTCCCAAATCCGACTATTTCATTTATTTTTGAATTGTGCTTTGACTACGATCCGCCATAATACATCGTCACGTGGCAAGAAGAGGCGAATATGAACTGTCGGTACGTCGCCGGAAACGCCAGCCATCGATCATAGCCTATATATGGCAAGGTAAAATACTGCAAACAAACTTTTTTATAGATAGTATAGCAAGCAGCTGTTTCGTCCATTGACATTTTATTGTCCAGCTTTTGTTAAAACTAGTTACGATCCAATTGACACGTATTCAAATGCGTGGGACAATGAATTAGTTATCTCCTTTGAAACATTCAAACAAAATGCAACAAATCCTAAATGACGCAATTTCTGGTTGGACACTAATGAGAATGTCAACGTAGATATAGCGTACGAGGCTGCAAATGATACGTGGAAAGAATACGGTCTATCTTTCATGTATTTGTGTTTTGTATCGTGTTATTTTGTAGGTACATGTACATGTAAAATATGAGAGCTCGGAAAACTAAAATAATTAATGGTTAATTATTGATGATTGAAAATGTGTGTGCAAACAACCCTAAATGAAAGATTGATATCATTTTAATTCAAAAGTGTGAATTATTGATTAGTTTGTTGTATCATCTGCAATCATTATTCTCATTCGTTTATTTGATACAACACCAACACAGAACGATACAGCTGTATGAATTAAACTAGCAACAATACTGATCTTGTTCAATAACTTACAAATGGCATTTTTTTTACCTTGTAATTATTTCTGAATAAGGATAGTTGAGTCAATGAATCTATAAAAAAAAATTCTTTTATGTGCACAAATGATCACCACTATTACCACCAGTTTGAACGCCAGGATCAAATGTACACAATTTACTGTGGTGCTGCTCAGATAATAATAAAAATACCGGGAGATGTCAGAGATGGTAGGATGGGAAATGATTCAATATTTAATGCCAATGACAGAAATTATTAATTATGTTCGATTGTGGTTGGTATTTTACAAACCCAAACCATTTCCTGGTGCGATTCAGGTATTACTAGTAATCAATGTTGTTGAAAAAACGCAATCTTGATTTCGCAGTTCACCATCTTAGAGGTATCAGACGGACAGGAGCTTAGTGTCAACAACCCATTGACACTTTCATTCAATGCCTTTGTTGTGTTTCACTTCTAATGATTTTTTTTTTCATTTTCAGTGGATTATTTAAAAGGTCTTAAATGATACAAATTTGTCTATGAAAAGTGCATTTAATAACGACAAACGAATGAATATAAAATTTTGAATTACTCTTTATAATACACGGTGAACTTTATTGGTCCACTCCGGCAACTGAACCATGAACGGTAGATGTTACTTCAATATATACTTTTGGTGGTGGTGCCAAATTCAAAAAAAAAATAGAACAGCAATGAAGTATGAAAATGCAAGTGAGCTGCAGGCATAGCCGATTATTAAAGAACAGTGCTAATTTAAGTTCATCTCAAGAAGTAAACAAATTTTATTTTTTATTCAAAATATCTTGTACATTATCTTCAGTATTTAACTCTCAAACTGAGGCACCACAACTTGAAAAGAACGTAGCATTTACCAGTTGCAAACAAAGTTTGTGTTGGTCGATCGTTACTTTAATTAACTATTGTCAGCAAAAATTCAGCTCGGCAGTTCAAATTAAGCAGCGTACCACTTTTTACTTTGGCTCGTTTATAAAAACAAACGGTGTCACTATCGTATTAAAAATTGTGTCTTTGGTGTACTAGACAATGATAGATTTCCATTCTTGACTAGTTATATTTTTTTAAAGGATCTGTTTCTTCTGACTGAATGTAGCCTGTTCACAGCTTAACAAGCATCATCAAGTAGGGACATACAAAAAAATTGGTAGTACACGCAGACTTGATTTGTAGAATGTATACACAACAGTGGTACACTTTTTAGACACCTGTAAATAAATGCATCACTGGTAGGTATATCCACCTGCAATTTCCCATCAAATACCTCCATCCTGGTCCTTCGTCCAGGATTTACACTAATAAATCGACTAAGAAACATGATATGTGGCAATGTTTATGAAATGATCTTGCTACCATGTCTGTACTTGTCTATCTTATTGGAATTTAATTTGATGATGATTTTGTAGAGATTTTGCTAGGTTTTTAGCGCAGCTTGCTGTGAGTGAATGCCTGGGCATCTACACTGTATGCTTTGAGACATTTGATCTGCCATTGGGTTATTCGTCTCTTAAAGTGTCTGTGAATCGTAGATTTAGCTGCATACATCAGCTGTCGTATGATAAAATAAATACGTATAATTTATAGATATTTATTATATTTAGTCTGAATACGACTCATATCTATAAATAAAGGCAGATTTGTCAGTTTCCTACAAACCAGCAAAAAATACCAAACTTTTACAGCTTAACTATTCACTGGGGTAACATTAAGCCAACCACTAACAAAATTCAAACTCATTTGGTATTTATCTGTTGAGAAATTCCTTACATGCATACCTTGTTACCTAAAACACATTCCCAAAGTAGCCGGTATTTGAAACAGACAAGTATCCCAGAACCAAAAGCCAGTTAACAGTGTCCTTACAGTGGAACGATTATTTTGGTTTCAAATACCTCAGGAAAGTATTCCAGGTTGTGTGTGTGTGTGATTAGATCTATATTTTGGATGAGGTTGGACCGATCATGTGCAAACTTCACACATACATCTTGGGATACATAAGCGCATCCATATGTTTATAATTTGGTTCAAGAAGACTGAATGGCAGATATTTTTGGTGCTTGAAATTGATCAAAAAAGTTCATACATGGAACATATTTAGACATAATATTTTGCTTTGCAGATTCAATATGACTGACAGGTGGACATTTTTTGTTGTTGCCAAGATAGACATTGTTACCACTTATTGGTATTAATAAAGATTGCATTATCAGAATAATGGGAACTGTTCACCTTGTTTTGTGCCACTTACCTGCCTTTTCATAAATTCTTAAAGATACAAATAGCATATCAAAAGATCAATTGTTACGCTCAGACGACTTGGGTTGTGTAGCGAATATTGTTAGTATATGCGGACTGTGCATTGCAATGTAAACAGTTTTAGGCATCAGAGAAGTTGAATGAACAGTTCATATCAGCAAATTTGGCACAAGAAATAAAATTAACTAAAAATAAAAAAAAACTTTATGTCTTTATAGAATGTCCTTTCCTTCACTCCCTGCAACATGGCATATCAAGTTGAATGGCTACAACAAAAAATTCACCGTCTTTCTTCTTGGGCTTTGCTTTGTTGGAATTGTTGCACTGATCCTCATCGTTGAAAGTCACAAACTGGGCATGGATGACAGCTATGAGAGATATGCCAGCAAATACACTCATGCGGAAGCTACAGATATCACTGACCCCAACTTGTTTTTTGGCATTGTGATCGATGCTGGTAGTAGTGGGACAAGGGTGTTTGTTTATTTTTGGCCACGTCACACAGGAAATTCCAATGAGTTGCTTCAGATTCAACAAATGAGAGATAAAGACAGATCACCTGTAGTCAAGAAAATCAAACCTGGTAAGCTGTATTTTATATCTGGTTTAACCCTTAACCCTTAACCTTTAACCTTTTCAATACCCCCTTTGTCACCATTCACAAATTTACACTGAATAAATTTTTTCATATTTTTCAAAAATTCTGATCAAGAATGAGAAATAAAGTATATCCGAAAAAATAAGAAAGAAATAATCACGATATTATACCTCAATTGTGATTTAAACTGCATATTGATCAATGCATAATGGTCAAACTATGAGTATACAGTGAGAACATTCAGATTGATCATATTCCAAACAGTTTTCACAAAAATAATTTGTCTAGTCACTATGTTAAGCATTTTAGGAGGTGACTAAAAAGTGAAGTCTCTATTTCAAATTGCATGCAAGGGCCAATAAAGGGATGTAATATGGAAAAATATTACATGGCTTTTATGCCACTGGTACTGTATGATAAGTTTTGTATATTTGGTTCAAAATTAACAAAGGAATTGTAAAAAAAATTGCATTAAAATTTGGCGGGAAAATCTCATGTTGTTCAAAAGGTTAACTTTCATTAAATGTGGTCCAGTCCATGCAGTGCCTGAAATACCAGTGACATTTTCACTGCAATATCATTTCATGGCTCTCCATGTGGTCCAGTCCATGCAGTGCCTGAAATACCAGTGACATTTTCACTGCAATATCATTTCATGGCTCTCCTGACTAAATTACTTTACTTATATTAAGAAAACAATTTATTTCTGTCATAACAACTGCCATTATGGGGCTCTTAGTCAAGGAGGGAATTACACTGACAATACCGCAGCGCCCACTCACAGTCCATAATTTTGTCATATGCACTTCTAATGTGTCTTTTTATTATACTAGTATGTCTTTATTCGTTTCTTGCTTAGTAAAAGAGATACTCAGTTTGGTTTTCACTTGAAACAGTTGGTCAAGGTGCATATAAAACTATTTTATTTCTAGGACTTTCTACTCTCGCTGAAAATCCTTCAGAAGCCAATGTTTATCTACGCCCATTACTGCAATATGCAGCTGATCATATACCACGCATGAAACATCAAGAAACACCGTTATATGTTCTCGCAACCGCAGGAATGCGAATGCTGCCTGAAAGGTTTGTACACATTATATTGGAGACCATTAACACAATTTTAGAGCAATGCCAATGATGTGTAATTTAATTATTTTCTTCTCTGGCCATGTTGGAATATTTGAAAATACTAAAAATGAAAAAAGCACTACAACGTTTGATATTTCGCAGAAGTTTCATCTTATAAATTACAAACACCAAATAAAAAGATGGAGCACTCTCTTTTCATGAAAACCAATACTTTATGATTTTCCCATCTCGTTAAAGGCTAATCTGGCAGCCATTTTGAAATCTGTCAAAATACCAGTCAAAGGGAATAAACATGTATATTGTCAGTAAGTTAAAAATATAATTTGTTTTATCTTATTTTTGCTACAGCCAACAAAATGCAATTTTAGATGATATTCGAAAAGATGTCCCAAAGGAATTTAATTTCTTGTTTGCTGAAACCCATACTGAAGTGATCACTGGGAAGGAGGAGGGAGTCTATGCTTGGATTGGCATTAATTTTGTTCTTGGACGATTTGACCACACAGATGATGGTGAGTTATGTGTTAGTTTTTATTATTCGTGATGGAGAGGCTCTTTAATCCACCAATCAAGGTTCAGTATAGGCAGAATAAAGCTGTTGTCTGGTTAAAATTTACTTGATATTCTGTTCATGTCAGCAATTTGTAGACTCGTTCAAACTTTGTTTTTGATGTACTCATTGTCTCATCTAAAATCAGTTTTTCTTGTACATTTCAGATGTGCCGATAATGGCTGTGGACGTGCCGGGTGCAACCAATAAAACTCCAATGCTGCGTAAAAGAACAGTAGGTGTACTTGATATGGGAGGCGGTTCAGCGCAGATAGCATACGAAGTACCCTCAACTGTAAGGTTCAACTCGTATGATAAACAGGTGTCTACTCTGATCATAGCATGTGTTTGGTATATCTTCATTTTTACTGTGCTTGAATATACATTGGCTATTAATAACCATTTGATTGTCAAAGTTGACATCTTCTTTGACAAATTAAACCTGCATTTTTGAATATTCTGATTAAGACCACCATCTGTTGGAAATTGCGAACACTTGGTTCAAAATTAACAAAGAAATTATATAAAAAATACACACAAATCTGCGGCAGATTTTTTCGGTTGGAACAATTATGGCATCCAAATATCATTATAAAATTATTTTTATTCCCCCTAGGAGTTATTCCATCAGTGTGCAAATACACTCATTGCAAAGAATCATCTTGTTTCAACACAATTTTTACTATTTTGGTGCTGAACAGAACATTGATTGTGTTGTGTACATGTATGCTTGTGATTATGGCCATGAACAATGCATGCAGTGTTTTGTTAAGGTAAACATTTTCTTAGAAATTTGGACTTTCTTGAGAGTACTGTGCATTTCATTTCTTGATTTATTTTGACAAAGACTTTCCTTTGAAACATGATTAACTATCCAATCATTTTGATATCCCATGCTAATTGATTAATAATGTAACTCCAGTCTTGTTGTTTAGCATTGTATATTCTGGTAGATTTTAAAGTGAAGGTTTATCAATGATTCTGTTTTCTATTTTTACATGTGTCATGTTGTTGAAGGTTGCAGGTTCACCATAAATTGTGTTTTTTTACTTCTAGGTTTGAGGTAAACTTAAGTGATGTGATGCTGATTAAGGAGTAGAAAAAAACAGTATGGTTTTGAGATCTCTCATTGGTTGGCATTGCATCACGTCTTCATTACATCACTTCCTGTTTTACACATGAAAGTCTGCCTGGTATTACTATAAACTGTTTCATTTTCGTATGTGATGGTTGTGTTCATTGTTTTATATTACAGCGTCTATAACATAACTTACAACTACTGTAAAACATGTCTTTTTCGTGAGCATGTCTTTTTAGCGAATTTAGCGAAAGAACAGATTCGCTAATTCAAGATGTCACTAATGACTTTATTATAAATTCAAAATGGCCAAGGCTTGGGGATTTGTATACAGTAATCATAAAAATTTGGGGCGCTTCCTAATTACACTTGACAATTTAACTGCGCATTTGTTTTGGCATGCGACAGACAAGTATTGTGAAAACAGGAAATCAACAATGACAAGAGAGATTCGTTAAATCAACATTTCACTATTACGTCATTTCACCACAATTCGCTAAAATTGCATGTCGCTTTTCAACATGTTTTACAGTATAAAATTCTTATTTCTCATGTTATATTCTTATTTAAATCTAATTAAAATTCATCAAAGTAATTCCTTATGAGCATCATATGCTTGCTTTTTTATTATTTGTGTACAGTTCATAGATTCCTGGGTGTAACTTTGCAGTTGGACACTTTGTACATTTGAATGTCAATTCACTTATACTTAAAACACTAAAGACAACTGTTTTCAATATACCCATATAATTAATTTAATATTTTTTCAAAATTTTTTATCAATACCTGTAACCAATGAAAAACCATGCAGTCCAAAATTATAGAAAAATTAATAAAAATATGACAAATTGTGGCGGGGAAAATATTATCATTCAAATTGCTGTTTATGAATGCTTATTTGCTTATTGGTAGTGCATGTGCTTACATAAATGACAGATGATAGTCCAGGGTCAAAATATTTAATTTAATGATCCATCATTTCATAAGTGGAATGTTTGATTTATGTGTACTTTTATGGTAGATGTACTTCTTATTGAGCAAATAGGGATTTCTATTTTGAATCTTTACTGAATTATTACAAGTGTGGATTGAGCATTCTGTCAATTCATATTTCTTAGTTCATGCATTGGTATTTAATCTTGATGTTCCTTATGACTATAAAATTGAACTGAAACTTGGTCAAAAAATTGTTAAAGTGGTATCAGGAAAACAAGATTTTATCTGTAAAGCTGATAACAACAAATTGAGCATTATGCCACAGTCTTCAGTAGTTATAGGAGTTAAGCATAGCATAAATGTAGTACAGTATTTCTACAAATATATTTTTTTAAGTTTCATTTATTTAATGCAAAGTTTTGATAGTTGTGCTAAAAATGTTTGAAAATTGTGCAAAAACGCCACAGTCTCCATACCACCAAGCATTCAAATTTTGTTTAAACAATATTTTTTAGGCATGTTGCATGGAACCCATATTGAATACAACTGACATGATGTGACAACTGGTGTTTAGTTGTGTAATAAAGCAAACATTATGCTCTGCATTATGCCATTTATATTTGCATACATATTTTATTTACATACATATTGAAAAGTTATGCAAGGGTAATCTTGGCAAAGCAAGGTTTTTTCCATAATTTTAAAAATGTTTTGTTTCTTGAAATAATGGGTTTTAATTTTTTTAAGATGAAGGGGGCTTCTATTTCATTTTACTCATTTAGTAATTAAATTAATAATGTATAATAATTACTATATTTCACCTACCTAATTTGTTTTCATGACAACCATTTCAGGAGGAATTGGCAAAGTCCTTGTTAGCCGAATTCAACCTTGGCTGCGATACACACGAGACGGAGCATGTGTACAGAGTTTATGTGACCACCTTTCTGGGTTATGGTGCAAATGTTGCTAGAGAGAGATATGAAAAAAACATTGTTAATAATACCAAGCATGGGTAAGATCTTGTTATATATGTAGTATCACCATGGTTACAGCATTGACCGTTAAATTGTGAATTTATTAGCCTGTTATTAATATTATATTTTCATCAGCGGTATTAATCAAACACTTTCAATCTTGGTTTATGGTAATATAAATAAGCGCCCTCTAGTGGCATACATATTATAATGCTAGCTCTTGTGTGGAAGTGTTCTCTCTTTAAAACTAAGTGAGGGAACAATTCTTTCTAGCCTTTTTGACTATGTGTATTGTGGAATTCCCATCATGCATCTCATTTATGTTAACAATAGAAGAAGTAGCTTTATGCTTAGAATGTCTGTCTTTGTTTACCACATGTAGGGATTCATTAAAAGGTGGTTTGAAAAGTACAGTACATAATGTCATTTTTATTTCAGTTAAATTTATGGGAAAATCTGATGATGGACATGATATGCATTTTCATATCTCATCTCCGTTCTCCTGCAATAATTCTATATTGTCCTCCTCAGGAATATTGTTGGAGGAACCGCAGAGAAACCTATCTTGGATCCTTGCTTACCTCAGGAAATGCCGGATGAAATTACAGATGATAATGGAAAAGTGTACTATTTGAAGGGGACAGGGAACTTTGCTAAGTGCAGACAGGCTGTGCAGGCACAGTTGGATCTTTCTGTCCCTTGCCAAAAAGAACCTTGTTCTATCAATGGGGTATATCAACCCACTATGGACTTCTTGAACAGTGAATTCTACGGTTTTTCAGAATTCTGGTATTCCATGGAGGATGTGCTCCGAATGGGGGGACCATATAATTATTATACTTTTACAAAAGCTGCACAGGTATGTACAGAGAACAAGTCATTGTCTATATATGTCATTGTACAGAGAACAAATCATTGTCTATGTATGTCATTGTACATAGAACATGTCATTGTCTATGTATGTCGTTGTACAGAGAACAAGTCATTATCTATGTATGTCATTGTACAGAGAACAAGTCATTATCTATGTATGTCATTGTACAGAGAACAAGTCATTGTCTATGTATGTCATTGTACAGAGAACAAGTCATTGTCTATGTACGGCATTGTACAGAGAACAAGTCATTGTCATTGTATAGAGAACAAGTCATTGTCTATGTATGTCATTGTACAGAGAACAAGTCATTGTCTATGTATGTCATTGTACAGAGAACAAGTCATTGTCTATGTATGTCATTGTACAGAGAACAGGTCATTGTCTATGTATGTCATTGTACAGAGAACAGGTCATTGTCTATGTATGTCATTGTACAGAGAACAAGTCATTATCTATGTATGTCATTGTACAGAGAACAAGTCATTGTCTATGTAATTCAAGAGAACAGAGAACAAGTCATTGTCTATGTATGTCATTGTACAGAGAACAAGTCATTATATCATTCCAGCACATACACACTGATAACATTTGTCTATCTAAGTGTATCAATGTCTGTCAACATCCCTTTCATGCTCATAGTAGCTAAGCCACCGAACAACTCAAACTCTGCTATTGGCCTAAAAGCATGATTAGGAAATTACCCAGAAGTACTTTTATTTTATTTTTGCGAATGGAATGATTTATTCTACTAGTTTATTTTCTAAAAGTTTGATTGATATAGCATGTTGATTTAACCTTTATTGCAGCACTTCTGTGCATCTAAATGGTCTTTGCTGGAAGAGCACCATAAAAAAGGACTCTACCTCAAGGCTGATGAACACCGATTCAAGTAAGTGCGGGAGAGGGATTTTCATTACATTGTTCAATTCAAATAAGTATGGGAGAGTAATGTTCTTTCTACTGGCATATTACATTTTGTATCTATATTATTCGTATCAAGTCTGTTACATTGTTCATACTGTATATTGTTTAAATTAATTTTATGAGTAAATTTATATGAATTTTGTGAGTCTTAGAAAATGTTAAATTTGTTTGTAGCTGTGAAAATGTTGTGACTCTTTCACAAAAAGTACATCCTGTGAAAATGATGACATCTTAATCTAATATTCGGATTAATAAGTGGCAAAATCACATTCATAATAATTTCAAACTTAACAATTTATTTATCTCTAGGTACCAGTGTTTTAAATCAGTCTGGATGGTGGCTATTCTGCATGATGGTTTTAAATTTCCTGAAAACTATCACAATTTACGTACTGCAAGTTTAATTCATGACAAAGAGGTTCAATGGACCCTGGGAGCTATACTGTTCAGAACCAGGTTCCTGCCTTTACGGTAAGACATCATTTCAAGTTTTATCCAAATATACCTACATTGTTTCTGCATTAGCCCCAAACATTAGTTCATGACATTGAAAGTTCTATATCAAATTGTTTTCAAAAATAAAATCCAAGACTTGCAGCCATTTGTGCCATAAAAATTCATTATTTCAAGCATTTATAAACTGGACAGAAAACTAGTATTTTCATTGGTAAAGCATTTCTTGGGATTCAAATATAAGGTTTTAAACATTTGACATGTGCGGGTACATTCAAATAATCAAATACATTGCATACATAAAAAAATCAAAAAATAGTAGCTACATTTTTTTTGAAACAAAATCAAGTCTACATAATAGTATATGGACAGAAATGCCTAAATGAGTCTGTTAACATTTGATACAGCGTGTTTTTTAAAACGAGTTAAATGAACTACTGGAGAAAATGGATAGTTGATATGGATTAGTGTGGACTTGTTGCACACACTCAGACACTTGCATAATTGAGTGATGAACCATTACCAGTAAGTAGTTCATAGTCACATCACAGTCTATTCCATTTGATGTTTGCCAGCTGCTAGTGTCTGTAGTAAAACTCACTGTTATTGATCTGTGGATTGTAAACAAATTTAAATATTACCCTTGTCGGTTGTCTGATACTAAATCATCGCAATGTCTTAATATTTTTAAATTAGTTCAAAATCTTGAAACCTCATATTGTTGTTTTGTTTTTATCAACAGTGAAATGCAAGAAGGTATTTTTCAACGAGGTTACAAACCGCCATGGATGCGTGCTTCAGTGGTGTCCAATCAATACTTGCTCATTGTATGCTTTGTTGTCGTTCTTGCCGCTATCTTACTGTATATAGGAAGACTGCGAAAACTTGGCTTCCTGTCGTCACAGCTAACACGTGTGCCAACAATGGCTTATTTCATGACTGAGGAAGGACAGGTACAAGAAGGAATTGCCGAACAAAAATATTATGGTTACAGCTAATGATAACTTTTTAATTAGACTGAATTTTAGCAGCCAGTTAAACAATAAGGTGATTCCACCGAATACAATGCATATATATTTTTAATTCTAAACTGGCAACATTCAGAAAGTACATGTATATATATATATAGTCCTATGATATACAATTCCCCGTTCCTGAATTACCATCAGACATAATGTAATTTTATTTGCGCATGTGTAACCTACCTTAGCAACGGACAAAAATATATAAAAAATCAAAATAACATCGGTAGACATGCAACCTGGAAGATAAAGAAAGCTGAGTGAGTGATGTGTGGGTAGAAACGAGAACAGCTAGAAGACTTTTTAAGATAGCTGAAAAACGTGGATTTCCAGTTGACAAAGAAGATTTGATGACGATTTGTGTATCACAGAGTATATGACCGTGGTGTATTTTTCAACTCCCAAAATACGTGCAAAAAGTATGAAAATACTATGCTATAGCTATAAATAATTTGCATGCTCATTGCTTAAGCAGAATTGTGTGCTAATTTTCAGAGGCTTGTACAAGTTAGTTGAAAGATGATGACAGTTTTATTTCAGTGGAATTTTATGTTGTTCGTTGGAAACATTGATTTTCAGTACACTGCAACTCTGTGCATTTGGAACATTACAAATCTGTCCTAGCTTCCGGTTTATTGACCACAGCACACAAACGATGAACATTCAAACTATCTATTCAGGAACCGGGAATTGATTGTGTATATTAACTCAAAAATATTTGAACTGGTGTACAGAACTGTATCAATTTCATGGTGGTTGCCATGGTTGTCACAAGGAAAATGTGTATTGCGAGGGACAGATTTACCGTGGCGACACCCATGGATTTGACAAGGGAACATGCTGCTAGGAACTTGTTCTTCGTTGGCTCCAATGCACACAAAATATGTTGCCAAGGACAGTTGTTTCATGGTGACTCCGACAAAGAAAAAAGATATTCCATGGTGGCTGGCATGGATTTCACTAAGAAGACAGTTGTTGCTAAGAATCTAAATTCTACGATGGAGGACTGGAGTTGACATTTCCAGTAGTCAACAGCAGTTTGCATGCTGGGAAGGAGTAGTAGTTCCTATCACAACCACTGTAGCATGCGTATTTGTTTTTGAAAATACGTTGATGAAAGCCATTTACAGATTATTAAAATTGGGGTTTGTCCCATTACAAAAAAACTTATTGTTAAGTGCAGATAGTCAGACTATTAAGCCAGTAATACTG